TTCATTCATTCATCCATTCATTCATTCATTCATTCATTCATTCATTCATTCATTCATTCATTCATTCATTCATATATTCATTCATTCATTCATTCATTCATTCATTCACTCACTCCAGGCGTCCCTGGCGGAGCGGCTGGTTGCGGAGATCGAGACCAACCCGCAGCTGCTGGAGCTCGCCAGTAACCCGTCATGCCTCGCGCTGCTCTGTCACCTACAGGTCTGGTGTACTCATTTTTTCTGTTACCAATTTTTGTATTATAGCAATAGCTCAATTAGGTAGAGAGTTCGGAGATCGTGAGTTCAAACCCCGGCCGGGTCATACCAAAGACTTTACAAATGGTACAGACTGCTTTCTCTGCTTAGCGCTCAGTATCTATGACAATCAAATACACAACACTACCTGCTGTAGTGCTTGCACAACTGCGTGGCCCAAGGGCTGCAGAAATGGAGATTATGCTCTGCACAGAGTGTATTCTGTATTATTTTTCATTGTGTTTTACTCTCGTTTGATGTTTTTCAGTAGAAGGCTAGGCGTCACATAAGTCACTATGTTTCTTGCCTAATACTCAATAGATATCACTCTCACTCACTCACTCACTGTGTTGAGCTCGCTCGGAATCTCTCATGACTATCTGTCCCCATTGCTCTCTGTCCTCCAGACTGCAGGCAGTTGGTTCAGGTTCATTCCACTGCCAGCTTCTAGCTGTTTAATGTGAGTCAAGTGTGGTCTTCCGCGACTTCTGTTTCCATGACTCGGGTTCCACAGTAAGAGTTTGTGTACTACCTCATCCATACCTTCACCCATACCTCAATAAATATATGTGAATGAATAAATCTGCAGGTCGGCCAGGACGCCCAGCCCTTCCGACTCCCCACCACCGTGACCGAGCTCTACACGGAGGTGTTCCGGCGTCTTCTCATGTCGCCCTACTCCGTCAAACCCTACATCCTGGACGGAGACAGGTCTGGTTTGCTTTCATTTATTTAGATCTCCTTGAGTGAATACATTTTCCACTATTCTTCCTGGACTCCAATTAAAACATCCAAAATATAACAACGGGGTATAATAAAATAATATAACAGACTTAACAACAGACTTATTATAACAGACTTAACAACAGACTAACATAAACTGAACTGAAAATCACATTAACAATCAAATCAATATAAATCAACTGTACAATAGGTTATCCAACGAAGTATCTGATTAACTCTTGACTTACGTAACTCAAAAACACGCGGATGTGTTTCCGCCAATGAGATGTAGGAGGTTAACACGTAATCTTATTTTTCAAATAACTTTGTTAGCATAGTATTTTTTAATGTGTTGGAGTGGTGGCACTACGGCGCACAGATTATTTGACGTATCAGATACGTCAACTTTGTGTAGTTAAATATTAATTGTACTTTTTTGTTGTGTGGCGCTGTTAATATAAGTTATAAATTTGATTGCAGCTTCAAACTGTCCTTGTTATGTTTTGATATTTTGATGAATAAAAAACCCCCTAAAAAACACAGGTCGTGGAAGGACATCCACCTCCGACTCATGGCGCTCGGTCAAATCGCCTGGGAGGAGCTCAAGTGCAACAGGACGACGTTTTCCGTACAGGACTTAAGAGACACCTACAAGGTTCTGGACAGACTCCTACCCATGGGGGTTCTGAGGATTGAGAAACAGTACGAGAGGGGACTACAGAACGAGCTGGTGCTGTCACAGAAGTGCTCGTTTATTAACAGAACATGGCAGGAGTACTTCGCAGCTTTTTACGTAGGAGAGAAGGCGAAGAGTCAACCGAATTCTCGGCAAACCGCGCAATACCTGCAGGCATGCCTGGAACGGGACAACTCTCTGGTTTGTCTTTTCACAGGTATGGTTCTGTTCTATGATATTGTTCTTAACTTTGTATGTGTTTCTGGACCATCTTGGATACTTTGTTATGTTAACCGAAGGAAAATATATTGTTTGGGCTACGTCTCCTCCTCTTCTTCTTCTTCCAAACACTGACCTCTGACCTGGCCAATGACCTGATTTGCTGACGTCTCTCACCATGGTAACTAGTGTTGGGTTACATAATGTTGCAATTTTATTGCAGGAGGGATTTATACTTCTGTCTGACCATATTAATGACTATATGAATTTGTTTGAGTAGGAATTAACAGAACAGACTATATTGATATGTAAATATTATGCACTTGCTTTGCAAATGTTACCTTTCTAGTGTTCATTATTGATCAATAAACTATTTTTGATTGATTGATTGATTGATTGATTGTTTGATTGACATCGAGCGGGAGATCAAGATCTACCGGAAGAAAAAAAAGAGTATTGTCTTGTCCCCTGTGTTGGTGGGGCATTAACATAAGTTGAAAAAACTTGAGTGTGTCCCCACACGTCTTGTGATTTTTGATTGATTCACAGCCATTTTTGATTGATTGATTGACAGCCGGGCACCTGAAGTCCAAGGCCAGCCCGCTGATCCGGACCATCGAGCGGGAGATCAAGTTCTACCGGAAGGAGGTGGAGCGGGTGCCCAAGTCTCGCGAGGCCGAGCTCCGGCTAACCGACCTGCTGCGGACCGGGCTGGAGTGTTTGCAGGTAGAGCAACAATCTCCAAGCAGATCTTAGGGTGGCAAAAGACAGTATCCATTTGCCAGACAGTATCCATTAGCCAGAGAGGGTGCAATACGCCACCCAAGGGTCGGACCCTCTTTGGCGAATGGATACTGCCTGGCGATTTGATACTGTCTTTTTTCACCCTAGGATCTGCTTGGATATTTAGCAGAGCACAGTTTTGCTCGGGGATTTCTATAGTTAAAGGCATCCAATGCGATTTCAGGACAGCAAAACTGGAAATATTCTGAATAAGGCAATATCGTTGTGACTTTGACACATACTGCTTCACATTAGCACATTTCAAGCAGCATTACATACTTTTAGCATTTAAAACTCCAGAAACGAGCCCAACATGAGTCCTTTATTTTCTTGGTGGGAACGTACAAATCAGCCTAGGGCCGAATGTTCCGTCAGAATGTTGGGTATTTTTGCTCCATGAGGGTCAATATACATTGGGATAGTGTGGTTTTAACTCAGTATGTAGATAAATGACTAGAATATTGGCTTTGAAAAGTGTAAACTATTTGGCCAATGTCTACTCTTTCCAGCAGCCTTCCGGAGCCTGATAGAGGCCAGGGATCGCCCATTAATACTGTGTACTGTTATGTTCAGGAGTGCCGATCTCAGACTAGCTTCGTGCACGTTCTGGCGCAGTTCTTCACGGAGAAGCTGCACATCACGGAGAAGTGCACGGCGGCGTGTCTCTACAGCATCGCGGACGTGCTCAAGTTCCAGGGCAGGGAGCAGACGGGCCGCAGGGACCAGGTCTTCGTCAACACACTACAGGTAACATGACTTCTTATGCCTTCTTCGCGTCTTCTTGTTGTGCTAGTCACCTACCTACCTAGCCCCATGACCGACACTGGGCGTGGGAGAAGGCAGACCTTGTAGCAGAGGTGTTGCCAGATATCACATCACAGCCCCTCTACTACCATCCTACCCGTAACCCCACCTCTTACACTTGTTGACGGAGATGCATGCTGTAGTTTTGACGAGGCGGAGATCTTTTCCCGCATTCTGTGTCTTACTTACCTGTCGGGTTCACGAGAATGCCTTCTCTCTTTCCGCACGTTTTGTTGTTTTTTTGCCCTTTAATTTCTATATCCCATGTTCTCTCGCTCGGTTTGACGACAATGTCATGGTTGTATCTTAACTATTCTTCAGCCTAACGAATAAATAACAAAATAAATAAGAGATGAATAAGTACATGAAAATAATGAAAAATACATTGTACCTTCCCTCTCCCCGCAGATCAGCGTGTCTGGCCGTCTCCCCGCGCGGCTTCCGATGTTCTTCTCCGCCCTTCAGGACGCTGACCTCCGGGTGCGTAGCCTCGTGTTCGAGGACAACCTGAACCTGAGCTCCGCGCGGTCCTGCGGGGGGTCCATCAGCCTGGACTGCCGCAGCCTCAGGCGCCTGCTGCAGAGGCACAAGGCTATCGACGAGGTGTGCGTTTGCTTTATACATATCTATACATATTTATTACGTATTTATACAGATTTCTACAGATTTGTACATCTTCATACATTATACATGAATTTTACTACCTTTCGTCAGTGTCACTGACGAACGGAGGTAGTGGATGCTACCTGAAACGTTTGACCGTTTCCAAAATCGTGTCCAGTTGCTTGAGTAACTGTTTTTGGCATATTTATACATATTTATGCATATTTATGCATATTTAAACATATTTATACACATATATACATATTTATACATATTTATATATATTTATACATACAGGTGTCGTGCCACATCGACAACATCACCATCTCCCGCCCGGCGTTCGGCGCTATCATCGACGCCATGACGGCGAGCAGGTCAGTTTTTATGTTTACCTTTGCAGAAGGAAACATATAAAAATTGTTTTTCTCAGTTTCTCCTCCGTTTCTCCTTCCTTAGTTCAAACAAACAAACAAACAAACAAACAAACAAACAAACAAACAAACAAATAAGTTAGTTTAGCTCAAACGTCCAACGAACTACTAGTGCTGCTCTGTTTATTCTAACACTAAATTCATATATCTCATGATCTGCCACTTGCTACATAATGTAATCCAACACCACAGGGTGTCTGCTACAGCACCAGTTACCATGGTGATAGCCGTAGCAGAAACCTGCGGTGTTGGATTACATTATGTAGCAAGTGGCAGATCGTGAGATATATGAATTTAGTGTTAGAATAAACAGAGCGGTACTAGCAGTTTGTTGGGCTAGACCATGTGTAAGGTAAACATTCAACAAATTGTAACGCCAGACCGCTATAGTTGAAAAGATATTTAACACTGTGCCCCCCCCCCTCCAGGTCTCTCTGCCGCGCGAACTTCCGGATCCTGTACGACTACGACTCCAGGTTTGCGGAGGAGTTCTGCTCTCTGCCGTTCGAGGCCCTGGCAGTGTCGTCTCTACAGGTGTGTGGTGGTAGTGTGTTATGTAGTGTAGCACCTCTGTAGAATTTTAGTGTCTATACGACTCATGTTAAACTACATGTCCTGCGCTTAGCCCTCATGGACATGAATGTGCAAATGAATATAATTTTTTAGCATGAAAGTTCATCTGTGTTAGTATACATATGACAAAAATGTTCTACCCAACAATAAGTAAATTATGACTCCGTCAGTCTTGTTCACGGAATGGACCCGTCTACTGCAGCTTCCGGGACGTGACGTCGGAAACACGTGATTGCAGTAGAGGGTCGTACGTGTCAGATAACTTGTGTCGCCCCCCGTCTTCGTTCAGCGCCGTAAACGCTATATTTCACCCTTGATTTCCCCATTTTCAGGAATTCACATTGGAGCTGGAGGAATCGTGCTTCAGTCAGCTGGAGAATGAGACCTCCGCCGAGAACAGGCTCAGTCTGCTGTCTCCCGTCGTGCGCATGCTCCAGACTTCGCCGCAGATGAGGTGCGTTATCATGTTTACCTTCGCAGATTACCTTCTTTCCTAGAACTATCGCAGAGTGGAACTCACTGTCACCAAGTACAGTAGGGGCATTGTCAATAGATAGCTTTAAACAATGTCTAGAGCTAGAAGTTCAAGGGTTAGGTGTAACAAGTCGATCGGTGTAATATAGCCAGCTGCCGCCGCGCCGCGTGACTGCGAAGCTGGTGTGTTACGCCGAAAGGCGGTTATACCGGCTATACAGATACAGATACAGATTTTGTTTTGCTCCGTTTCCTCTTCTTTCGTTCCAAACAAATAAGGCAATGGCCTGGACCGGACGGCTGTCACCATGGTAACGGGTGTTGGATTGGATTAACGTAGCAAAGTGGCAGGTCAGATCTCCAGGGGCTGGTGCTGGATACGTTGCCATATATGTTGGAATAAATATTGTAGCAGGTTGCATGGTAGAACGAGCTCGCTTTAGCTGCACGTGGTTGTTAACCAGCAGTGCAAATGCGTTACTAATTTTATATTTTTGCAGGAAAATGTCAGTCGCCATCCAGGACACAGAAGTGCACAGCGAGAAGCCTGCAACGCGAGCCTACACCTTACAGGTGATCCCGCTGCTGCAGGCTGTCACAGGGGAGAGAACGCTGCAGGAGTTCAGTTTGCAGGTCCCCAGGGCAGACATACTCATCCTGACCGGCACGCGGGACCTCGTCACCAGGAACGTCGTGCTCAAGAAACTACAGCTGACAGCCGCGGAGGCGAGTTTTCTGTTTTACCTTTTTTTTCTTTTACAATTTAACATGGACAATACAAGAAATGGTGGTGAGGTACTCTAGCTTATCATAGCTAAGTATAGAGTGACAAAATACATGACAAAAAACAACAGAGAACAGCAATGGGTGGAAATGGATCAATAAATGGTAAGGAAGAACATGTTTTGTTGGCTATGTAGGAGTTAATTGTTATGTTTATGTACTATTTGTTACGTTTACATTCGCGGGAGGAAAATATATTGTTTTTGCTCCTTCCTCTTCTTCTTCTTCTCCAAACAAATAAGGACAATGTCATGACCTAAAGTGAGTCTAAATCCCTCCTACTATAAAATTGCAACATTATTTAATCCAACACTAGTTACCGTGGTGACAGACGTCTGGTTCAGGTCATTGACCTTATTCTGAATCCAAAGATTTTCACAGAGGTATTGTCCCTTCCAGACCAGTACGCCCAGAGAAACAACGGCGGTCTCCGAGATCCTGCGGGCCCTGACGACCAACCGCTCCCTGCAGTGCTTCTCCTTGACGCTAGAGGACGTTCCTCCGTCCTGCAACCCGAACGAGCTGCTGCGTGACGTCACGGAGGTGCTGCGGACGAACCCGGTCCTCCGGACGTTCAGCTTCGTCATTCAGCAGCGCCCCCTAGCGCTGTTCTGCAGCGGCCTCACGCTGAAAAACCTGGTGGAGGCGGTGGAAGCGAACAGTACTCTGACCAGAGTGGACATTGTTGGCTTTTACGCGCAAGATCCGAAATCGGCAAAGCTTGTGTCGGACTCAAACTGTGCAACGACTGGTAGAAAAGTGGAACGTAACTTGGACATTCCTTACATCTGGGATGCGTGCTCGTTAGACTAGGCAGAGGTAGAGGTCAGAGGTAAAGGGAACCGTCATAGCTAGAGGTTAGAGGTCAGAGGTAGATGTAAGAGGTAGAGGTCAGAGCGAGAGGTCAGAGGTAAAGGTCAGAAGTAAAGTTACCTGTCATAGGTAAAAGATCAGATGTAGAGGTACTCGTCAGATGTAGAGGTACTCGTCAGAGGTAAGAGGTCAAAGGTAGAAGCAAGAGGTAAAGGTACATGTCATAGGTAAGAGGTCAGAGGTAGAGGGAACTGTCAAAGGTAAAGGTCAACCGTCCCAGCAGTCAATGTCAAAGACATTTGCATGTATTAAAACTTTGACGTGTTTCAATGTGTTAAAGAAAACCAACATCAGTATTGTGAAAAATTAAACTCTAATATTGTAAAGCAAAATAGACTTTTTTCTTATTTGTATATGTAAATGTGAATATGATGTTGCTCTGTACAGGTTGTAAAGTTTTGCTTAAGTATAATGAATGTTGCATTTTTGTAATGTGGACGCAATTTGGGCTATTCAACCCGCACGTTCATTTCTTAATAAAACCTCAACTTCAATAAAACGCAATGTTTTCTTCTGCTCACTTGTAAACGCTGGAGTCGTTATACCCCGTGAGGGGCATTGTCCAGTATTGTATAGAAGAAGAAGAAGTAGAAGCTTGATACTTCATATATATGAAATGAAAGGCAGACGTCAAAAGTAACCTTTCTTAATATACTGTCGCGAATATCGTGTATCCCAGCGACAGATATAAGAGGGTCTGCATGCCCTTTTTCGTTAACCGTTATGAGCTATTTTAATTTACCGTTAATCGTTGCCGGCCCGCTCTAATTTAACGTTAAGCGTTATCAGTATATTCCTCGTGAAGCGTTATTGGTCGTTTTAATTCAACGTAAAACGTTATTTGTCGTCCTAAATTCAGCGTTAAGCGTTAATGAATAATTCTTCGTTACGCCTAATTTTGCCTTTCAAAGTGCAGGAAAATGCGTCATTGAAGGTTCAAAATACAAAATTTCCCGGGGGAAAATGCCCCCGGACCCCCCTACATTGCTCGCGCCTTTGGCGCTCGACTCGCGCTTCTGCGCTCGGTCCCTTCGGCTCTAGCCAGAACCAGCTTTCCTGTCAATTTCCGGAAGTTTGCGGAGAGTTACAGAATTTTTTTCCAAGAATCCGTCAACCTTGACAGGCAAATTAACAAAAATCTTGAGTAAAATATGAAAACATCAGAAGGACCGACAAACACTTTCAACACCATGATTTGCCTCTCAAAATGTGGGAAATTGCGTTTTTGAAGGCTTAAAAATCCTAAATTTCCCGGGGGGAGCATTCCCCCGGACCCCCCTAGATTACGACGCTCCCCTCTCAAAATCCACTGGGCAGACTGAAAAAATGCAAGCTGGCTGACGTCGACTCGGACTCCCCTTTATTTGTGGACGCACTCGGGGACCAGGGCATGTGGGGAACACAGGGTACACATACCTTTAATGCGTGCTTCATTACATGTAAGATATACGTAATTTTGTCAGTGATCACCTTTTCTCACAAAGCGAGATACCAAATCCAGTGCAGCTCGAACGAAAAAAAGTCTGTCAATTTACCGTTAAGCGTTGCCGACCGTCCTGAATTTACCGTTAAGCGTTATCGGCCCTGCTGAATTCACCGTTAACCGTTGCCAGGACCCCCCATGCAGACCCTCATATAATTCTCACATACCTAAGCATTTGACTGCTATTATATTTCTTTTTCTGCTCAAAGACACGAAGTCATTTAATCACACAGAATCACTTTAAAGCCTCTCTCTTTAATAGTATTTAATGTCTAATCAGAAATGAATGAGAAGGCAGTCGAAAGTCACGTTTAAATCTCGCGGTTCTTTCCCCAGCGTGAATCCGCGAGACTTCCCTGTCGACTGCACAGTTTGGATTTCGCGCGCAATTTTCACCTTTGACCCGCAAACAAACATGGCGGCTGTTGGGTAAAAAGTGTAACGTGTTCGCTGGTAACGCCGGAAAACAGTACGTATAAAGCAGGTTACACCATTCATATTTTCCACGACATTTCTTAGGTACCGTATAGACATTGTTAACTTGTTGAGATACATGTACCACCTGCATTTGCAGGTTAGTGCAGGTAAAATTGGAGCTGAATAATTTATGGCCATTTATAATTATAATTTGTCTACCTGCACCAGTCCAGTTACGTACCCAGGTACCGGTATTGGGTTTATATACAAATGTAGGTGTATGTGGAACTTACTATTACGCATGACCTGTGTATAAGAAATAGTGGCAGTGGTTTCTGAACAGTTTTTCAATAATTTCTTTTCAAAGTCTTGAGTGGTGCAGGTAAAATTTGTCTGGTGCAGGTACAAGGTATTTTTTCAATGCTATGTGCAGCTGTGCAGAAAAGTCCTGACATTGTGACATTGTGCAGCTCCCCTATTTTGTATAGATTGTTTTTACTCCAGTGTTTTATTCTGAATACGGCTCTTACCAAATTGTTGTCATGTCACAACTCAATTCAGCCACTCTGGCTGCTTAGTATAATGTTTGCGACAGTTTTGAAATAAACCGTTCACATATTTAACAGTATATATAACACCATAAAAGGGACCTTCCTTATTATAAATTCTGCCACAGTTTCAGGGACCATGTCAACGCGAAGCCGGAGGGGGAAGAGGGGTCTGCCAGACGGAAACGGCGCCCAGGAAAAATCAGGACATGAGCAGCAGAAAGGACCACAGGACCCAGAGCTGCAGAGGTGGGGAGAACTTGGCTCTTTACATGCCCGTAGCCAGGATTTTGAATGGGGGGGTTCTTCCCACTGCTGGAGGGGACCTCGAGCGCCGAAGGCGCGAGGTTCCTAGGGGGGTCCGGGGGCATGCTCCCTGGAAAATTTTGAAAAATGAACCTTCTAAAATGGCATTTTGTGCATTTTTGAGAGGATTTCCAAGAAAAAATCAGAGATAAATTTTTATTCAATGACAAAGGGAGCAGTTTTTCTACGATTCCAGTCCATCTTTTCAAGAAATCTTGGACCTTTACATAAAAAGTGGACCAAAAAGTGGACCTTTGAGCATTCCGGCTACGGGCATGCTTTATCTCTTGATTAAATATTGGTACCTTGACCTGTATTTATAAGGCCTAGGGAAAAAGTGTGGTGCAATAGCTCAATTGGTAGAGTGCTCGCCCTGTAACCGGGAAGTCGTGAGTTCAAACCCCGGCCGGGTCATACCAAAGACTTTAAAAATGGTACACACTTCTTTCTCTGCTTAGCACTCAGCACATATGAGAAAGGGTGTTGGAAGGTCAAACACACAGCACTACCCGCGGGCTAGCCCCCTGCTGTAGTGCTTTGCACAACTGTGTGTCGCCCAAGGGCTACGGAAATGGAGATGGGCACCACCCTACGCTCTGCAAAGAGCACGGGAGACCTTTCCTTTCTTTCTTAGGGAAAAAGTGTGTTACCTGTTTCCTGACCGACCATGGAATCAGCCCCTGTAGGGATTCAGATTACACAAAATAAAAACATATCGTCGTTACATAACAGATTCCATGGTACACCGACTTATGGTACATGAACTTTGTAGTAGCGTGCGTAGTCCAGTGGTTAGCGATCCTGCCTCTGGACTAAGAGGTTGGGAGTTGAAATCCTGGCTGTTGTCGCTCACCCAACATGCACGCTACTGTTTAGGGTCGCAGTCCTTAGGACGGGACGTTAAGCCGTGGTCCACTGTTCATTATGCTTGTCGAAAAGAGCTAGGGGAATTTCCCTAGTACAATGAACCTGTAAATACTACATACATAGCGTCTGTCTTCTCTGTCAGGACCAGTGGAAGATTAGCTCTTCAATGAGCTAAACTTGTTCGATATCCTTTTTTTTTTTTTTACATAATACCAGATTTAGGGTCGGGGCTAACCCGGTAGTGCTAATTGTTCAAGATGTCATGGATTTACAAACATGAAATCATGAACATCCGTCTGCAATTTTTTGTAGGGTTGGTCAGGAAACAGGCAACACAACCCTTTTTTTCCCCAGGCCTTATAGTGCTCACCTAACTTGTCAAATGTTCTCCCAGAATGCATGCCAAGACAACCAAAAGGATCCTCCTCCGCGTGACCTTCATCGTGCTGACCTTGGGAATTGTGACCCTGCTGTCTAGCCGAGGCGACCAATCAGGGCTCACCACGTTCGTGAGACAAGACGAGACAGTCCGGAAAAGGACACTCGATGTGCCCTGCAGTAAAGACTACAAAAAATATCAACACTTTGAAGGTGAATTTGCATGTATTATGCCCTTGTCTGCACTAGTAAATCTTGAAATATGCTGTATAACATTATATGTCATACATTGTATATAGTTTTATTTTCACAAATGCATGACATTGTGAATATGTGTATCCAATGTATAATTCACCTTACCTTGTATTGTATAATTACAAGTACTGTATGACGTACCAAACTGTTTCAGATTCAGATTTATTTTAATCAACCAGAACATTACAGATACATGTGACAATGCAACAGAAGGTCTGTCAAAAGTTACTACAAAATCTTTTCTTTATCAGATTATGTATGAATGTCATACATTTTTTTTGTACCTCAAGCTAACCAACATCTGGCACTCCACAGATGTCCATTAGTAATAAGAAATTATGGTATCATGTTACCACTGACCGGGGCAATATGCACTGGAAAAGCTTTGTACACTTGAAGAAGCCACACAGGTGAAACCGGTCATGTGACAGGCTGAATAAAAGTTCTAAATGGGAGCTATGCGGCTGCAGATGTCTTACTGAGGGATGACTGAAGTGTGATAGATGTCGGCTAGCTTGAGGAATGAATCCACTCTACTATATGCATCAAGCGACCTGTAGTTATAGATGTTTGTTTGTTTGTGTGCAGGATGTACGCCCAGAAGATGCGGCCGAGGAGTCATGGATGGGCTGGTGACTCACGAGGAGGCCAAACAGCTCCAGAGGTAACTCTGGCTTACTACCAAACTTTTGGGAAAAAACAAATAAACCATACAGTACTAGTATATTCTTGATATCTAAATGTCAGAAAAATAATAAAGTCTTTGTTGTGTAAGCTTATTCCATATGGTGCACCCAAAAAATTTCCTGTGCACCCAATGTTTTGGTCTATTTCCAAAAGTGAATTTTGAGCCCTGTAGTCCACACATTCACATGAACCTGACAGCTTGTTTCTGGTCTCCATTCTCCAGGATAGCAAAGAGAGGCCTGGCACTGGGCGGGTCCAACGGAGGGGTGAGTTCTAACTTCTAGTTCTGCATGTTTGTTGAGATGCAAAAAGTGGAGTTAGTGTGTATTTTACAAGACTTTGTAGTCTAAATATGAAATACAGACCAGTCTTGTCCTGTTAGGGAGTTTGTAGTGTCAGGCATCAACTTTATGAAAGAGTTAGGGAAGAGCACATGTCTTAGATAAAACAGGGATGTACCTAAAGTCTGTGTCTCATACGCCAAATTATTTCCCTGTACCATTGGTTATGATGAGAAAATAAGAATCTTTTATGGCTGCATGTCCAGGAAGTAATTTACTACTAAGTACACGTACATATTTGTGAATCTTGTGTTCTCTTGTAGGCGTCTATCTTGGACCTTCATTCGGGAGCTCTGTCAAAGGGAGACAGTTTCATCAACCTTTATGAGTAAGAATACAAACAAATAAACAAACAAATAATGACAAACAATGAGCTTAATGTTAAATGCTGTACTGGAAATGTCAGCTTTTTTGTTTTGTATATCGCCAGTAAACTTCCTTGAGCTGTTATAAGCCCTCCAGTTTTGCACAGTAAGACTAGGCTGGTCTAAATGAAGGTTTACATAGTAGCTCACCGCAGCTTGCTGTGTATTGATGAGCTCTATAGTCTCAAATCATGTCCTCTTTTCAAACATTAGATGCTCATGTCCTATCCAAATGAAGGACTTTAACCCATACTAGTTTTTCATGGTTAAATCTCCTTGGTTGAACTTATCATGTATTCCCCACTCCCACCCATAGGCTCAAACTGTGTCCTCTTTTCAAACATGAGACCCTTGGGATTATGTCCTGTCCATGTATGAAGGACTGTAACCCATACTACTTGTATTTTTTTCTTGGTTACACTTAGGCTGTATGCTGTAGACTGTAGGTACCCCCCCCCCATAAATCAGGCTTTAACAATTTTTTTGTTTCCCAATCTTCAGGTTGATGAAGAGAAGCAACCACAAGATTGTTTTTTCTGAAGATGACTTCAGTCTCTACAGGTAAGAACCAAAAGCATTACCACATGAGAAACCTGCAATATTTGAATGAAAGCTCATCTGTGTTGGTAGAATCCATAGTTGCAAAGTTTACTAGTAAGCTTAGTTCCAATACAAAAGGGAACTCACACTAAGTGTTGTAACTAAGCTAAACCTGCAGCATGTTGATTTTCTACTCACACCAGGAACTTGCCCTATACTCTTTTCTGGAAGTGCGGTGGATTCCTTAACATGCTCGAGGTGCATGTGGCTATTGTCAAATAGTCCTATTCAATAGGGCAACCTACATACCTAGCTAGGAACTAATTTTCACCCAAGTTGAGTAAGGAATGGGTGTAAAGTGTTATCCCTAAAGAAACAGGTCCAGACCTGTACCTAAATAATTGTACATGTACAGGTACAGGTACAGTAGGTGATCAGTTCCAGACCTGTACCTACATTTTGTTAATAATTTTACATGTAGGTACATGCACAGTTTTTTTGGTCGACACCTCTATTCTGTACCTGTATCAGTATAGCCGGTATAACCACCCTTATGGAGGAGTTGTTTAAAGCTTTCTAGTGATGATGCCCCAACTATGCTTGGTGGCAATAAGTTCCACTCTACTAAGTTCTCGGGAAATACGAGTTTTTGAACACCTCAATTCTTGGTTGATAACTCTGATATTTGAAGACATGACTGTTTCTTGTTCTTTTCTGGGCTGGTATCAGATACTTAGTGGTTGGTAATATTGTCCACCAGTTTATTAGTCATTTTTTATTAATTATTCATTATCTCTTCCCCGCAGGAAGGTAAAGAACAGGATCCGATCGGCGATTGCTGCGGAGTTTGGAATCGAGCAGGACAGACTCCACCTCACACACCCCACGTTCTTCTCTCGCATGACGACCAAGCCAGCAAAAACTGTACACGACGAGTACTGGCATCCTCACATTGACAAGGTACAGTTCAGCTCAATATACTAAGTACTGGCATCTACACATAGACAAGATACTGTACTGTAAACTCATAGCACGGGTTTCTGCAGTTTCTTTATGTTCTGCCAGGGGGAGCAGTGTATCTTCTACCAGAGATAGAGTCAGACTTTGATTGCCTGTTGTTGTTAAGTATCTGTATGTATCTGTATAGCGGTATAATCGCCCTTCGGCATAACACACTAGCTTTGCAGGCACACAGTGCGGCAGCAACTAGCTATATATCACACTGAACGACTTGTTACACCTACATGTTACCCATGGACATCTAACTCTAAACATTACTTAAAGCTATCTAATGATAATGTTGTTGTTGATATTGTTGTTGTTGTCCTGTTCAGGAGACCTATGGTTCGTTTGACTACACGTCCCTTCTGTACCTGTCCAACTATGATGTTGTTGTTGTTTTCTTGTTATTGTTGTTGTTGTTGACGACTTGACGTTGTTGTCCTGTCCAGGAGACCTATGGTTCGTTTGACTACACCTCCCTGTTGTACCTGTCTGACTACGATGTTGTTGTTATTTTCTTGTTGTTATTGTTGTTGTTGTTGACGACTTGACGTTGTTGTCCTGTCCAGGAGACCTACGGTTCGTTTGACTACACCTCCCTGCTGTATCTGTCCGACTACGGCAGTGACTTTACAGGGGGGAGGTTTGTGTTTGTGGATAAGGAAGCCAACAGCACCGTGGAGCCCAGGACAGGTAAGGAACAACCACAGGTAAAACTTCTAACTAAGGCCATGTCATATCCAGAACTGTGCCTTTGTACCAGTAGTTTTATTCCTGAATGGGTTAGGGTTCTATCGTATCCAGGACTGTGCCTGTCTAGTTCTGTGCCTAGATGGATTACAGTTAGGATCAACAAGGAGACCAATAGTAGCCTGAGTGTCACCGACTCAGCCTTGTTAGCTTTGGTCCCCAAGATCTGCTACCGTTAGTGCTCTTGGGGAGTGGACCAAAGCTAACAAGGCTGACACTCAGGCTAGGCCAACAGCACAGTGAAACCCAGTACAAGTATGGAAATAAGACAGGAAAAACCTCTGTGCTAGTCCATATTGTGTCCAGAACTGTGCCTATCTACTGTGCCTCTTACACGCATGCTCAGAAGGCCTAGTATGTTGAGTAACCATTGGTGAGAGCATCCAAACCAACTAAAACAGCCTTTTTCTTGCCTGGCATGAAAAGACTGGCTTTTAGTCTTGTTTTGGCTGCCTGGTAGAGCTCTATACAAGTAATGCTTATGTTGTTGTGTTAAGGGGATGGTTTTTTGACAGCTTATTTCTGGCATGTTTACCATATGTTTCTATGAGAGCTTCTAATGGTGTGCTGTCCCCTGTACTGGTAGTTCTATTCCTGAATGGGTAAGGGTTTCTATCCTATCCAGGACCATGCCTATCTATTTCTGTGCATGGATAGAAAACGTTTAGGATCAAGCATGATCTAGCTCATTGGAAGTGCTGCAAAGTGTATGATTTGCATAATGTTAATTTATTTGCATAATTTGCGTTTAAAAACGTTTAAAAATTGTTGAATCTCGTTTTCTTTTCTCGCAGGGAGGGTTTCCTTCTTCACCTCGGGTTCGGAAAACCTCCACTTTGTTGAGAAACTTGCGTCGGGGACGAGGTTTGCCATCACCGTGTCTTTTTCGTGCGACAAGAAACACGCCATAGATGATCCACACATTAAGTCGTGACACTACGGAGAACAATCGTTCACCGATGAGTCATGAATATGGAATCTGACATCTTTTGCGCTGCATTCCTACCTTTCAAAGACAAAACAAGGAATAGTTCTAAGATCCGCACGTTAAGTTGTGACGCAACGCAGAACAATCGTTCACTGATGAGTAGAGTGAACTCATCAATCTGGAATCTGACATCTTTCTTTGCTGCAATCCTTTCTTTCCAAGACAAACCAAGGAAAAGTTCTCTCTAAGAACCGCACGTTAAGTCCTGATACTATGCAGAACTATCGTTCACTAATGAGTAGAGTTGGAACCATTCCTGAGCTGACTGATGTCTTTTGCACTGCAATCCTTCCTTTCTAAGACAAACCAAAGAACAGTTCTCTCTAAGATCTGCACATAAAGTCTTGACGCTACACAGAACTCTGGTAGTCCATCGATTTCTGATAATGACTTCTGTGCAAACCCTCATCAGGTGGGGTGGATCCTCTGGTGGCTTCTTAGCCCAAAGGCTGAGGCACACACTCAGCTTCCCGCACCTGCTGCACTGGTAGTCTGAAGTAGTTGGTTTAACTTGTGCTGTTCTGTGCCGCTTTTCCTTGGCAGCTTCGAGATGTCTCCTCCTTTCCTCCTCAAAGCTACACAGAACTATCATTTCCTAATGAGCAGATTGAACAATCATTGACTAGTGGGAACAATCGTTTACTAATGAGTGGAGTTGGAATTATTCCTCAGCTGACCGGCATTTTTTGCACCACAGTCCTTCCTCAGTAAGACCCCTAGGAGCTGCAGGGTTCCTGTTTAGGACCTTTATTCAGCCTTACATAGCAAAACGTTGAACTTTATTCCAACACACAATTAGGAAGGGATCAAATTTTCAGCGACCACTGTCGCCTTCATTAATTATCCTGATGAAGGCGACAGTGTAATTGTAATTGTAATTAACAAAGGGATCAAATTTTCAGGGATAATTAATGAAGGCGACAGTGGTCGCTGAAAATTTGATCCCATTGTAATTGTGTGTTGAAATAAAGTTCAATGTTTTGCTATGATTGCTACCAACACAGATGAACTTTCATGATAATTTTTACTCAGCCTGTCACTCCGACTGGTTTTGCCGATGTAGTTCCTTTAGTGGCTCTTTCTCACCTTCACTTACATGCATCAGCAGCAACTAAAGCTCTGGCATTCCAGTCTGCCCTGCCTTCCTTTTAGCTATGATAGCCTGCTGTCACCTAATAGGATACTCCCCTCATGTTGTTGAAGAGAGAGGTACCAGATCAAACTTGAAAGATGCCCCTCAAAAATAATTTCATCAGGTTGGTAGAACATGAAGCATTAGAATTTTCTTATCCACAACCAGTAATGTCTCTTACCATGCTTACGCATCAGTGTCTATCAGACACCTTCCTCAGAGCTTCTGACTGGAGTTCTGCTTCTTGCTGCTGAAACTTCAACTACATTCCATTGACAATACACACTTTGAAACTGCTATAAAAATGCCTTTTTATGATTATAACAAATGCTGTAATTTGTGTGCATGTTGGAAATGAGTATGTATATAATCTGCGTGGGATTAGTTTTACAGCCTTTGAATATAGGCAGATCTGTATTTATTTTCCTGTGTGTTTTATTACTGAATTTATGATATTAATTAAGTTAATTGGCCGCCAGCAACAGTGTAAGGGTCTCATTTTTTCTGGAGACATCTTGAAATTGTAGCTTTAGAATCTTTAGAAAGGATTATGGTGATGTCTTGGGAGTAAACATAAGACTTGGAACCTCAGCAAAAATGCTGTTTAGTCTATGGTGATTATCTTATATTTGAATCAGTTTATAATTTATACTGATATTTAGATATTTATTTTGTGTTCTTTGATGGTAAACCCATAGTTCTGTAACTGCTGACATTTCTTAACTCCTTAGATACCTTCCTAATTGTGAATTGGACTTCTTACTACTTTGTGATGCTTTGTTAGGTAGCACCTGCAGGTAGCAAAAAGGATGCAGTCCCAAACGTGAATCGTCACTAAATTCATTTTGTATAGGGCACAGCACAGTAATAGGGCTTTCCTATGTTAATATATGGGAATTATGTCAAAACAACGTGGTCAACATTCATATACCTGAGTTTTAGACCTTGAAGAACATACATTGGCAGGGTAGGCCAACCTCTCAAGTCTCCATTCCCAAAAAATGACAAAATCCTACGCACCTAAATCATGCGAGAATTCTACCCAAACATTGAGAAGTGACCCCTGACCTCTCTGGACAGCTGATGACCGCATGTAAACCTATATCTTCTTCAGCCAGCCAGACAACACAAACATGGCTGCAAGTCTGTTTTTTCACCAAAATTAAAATACTACAACCCTTACCTATAACATCCAAGTCCAAAACAACAACATTTCCCTAGAAAAAGACTTCTTTACACTCTACATTACATTGCCATCTCTATATACTAAAACTGGGCCCTCTGCGCCTGCGCTATTACTAACCTTTGCCCTATAGATTGTCTTAGAAGAATGTCGAAAGAACATTCTAAGGTTTTTAGTCATCCTCTTCTTGCTTCTAAAATGTTCCAATAAAAGATAAAGATCGTCATTTGAAGGTCATTTGAGAAATTTATGGGTGAACATAAGATTGAGTTGGTGGTATTGGAAACCAGTGCAATGACCAAGTGAGTAGAGTGCTCGCCTTGCATTCGGTAGGTCGCGAGTTCGATCCCCGACCGAGTCATACCAAAGACTTTAAAAATGGCACACACAGCTTTCTCTGCTTAGCACTCAGCATTTGGGAAAGAGTGTGGGAGTTAAACACACACCACTACCAGTAGACTAGCCCCCTGCTGTAGTGACTGCTGTGTGTGGCTCAGGGCTAATGAACGGAGATGGGCGCCGCCCTATGCGTCACTTGACGCGGTAAGGCTCTCTTTAACTAACTAATAAGATTGAGGAACTCATGCATCCCGTCCTGACAAGGGATGTTAAGAAAAACGGTCTTCCCCAGAGGAATTTTTCACGGACATCCTCGACAAATGGCCGACCTTTACTGGAATGTTCCCAAGTACTTATGATGTCACTTATTACATTTTCAAGGGCGGATGATGAACACAAAGTGCAGCTGCAAGGCGACGCCAAATCGATTTCTTGGTTCCCGGATTTTTGCAGGAAAACGATGAAGCTACGTATACGGGACTAGAATTGTGGTGGGGGTGGGGTCAGGGACCATGTGGCTTGGATACTTGGATACTTTATTCAGTCCATTAGCTGTCGTACACAAATACACGAATACGCAGCTAATCTTCCTGGACCGTAAAAACATAGAACAAGGACATACAAACTACGAAAAAAACCGAGAGGCAAAGCTCCAAGCAGATCCTACGGTGCCGAGACCGTAACCATAGGCCAAAGGTTGTGCATATATAGCCGATGACATAACTTCTTTGGCTAATAGTTACAGTCTTGCCACCATAGGATCTGCTTGGAGTTTACGAGGGGTGTTCAAAAAGTTCTCGGCCTCACCTAGAAAATAAAGGTCAAACTCCTATTCTTTGGTATAGCTGTATACTATGACGTCTTACATCACTGCACACAAAAATTCAAATTTTTGTATTCATTCATGAGCACGTGACGCCCCGTGAAAATGGGGTGGGTGAGGGCAAATCACAAAATGGCCGCAAAAGAAGCGTGTGCTGTGATCAAGTGTATCGATAAAAAAGAAAGTCTCCTAAGCACATCCATGAAGACATGGTCAAGACACTTGGTGATGACTCCCCTTCTTATTTAAATATAAAGAACGGGGTTACTAGCTACAATCGCGGCAAGGAGAGCACAAAAGATGAACATAGGTCAGGATGCCACAAATCAGCACCACGGACTATCCAGTTGAGGCCATCCATCACATGGTAGTAAATGACAGATGTGAGACTGGCCAACATGTAGCAGGTTCTTTGGCCTGTGTTATGACTCAGTTCACAATATTTTGTCGAACATCCTGGGGATGAACAAACTGTCTGCATAGTGGGTGCCTCGAATGTTTTTTGAACATCAGAACTTAAACAGGCTTCACATTTCAAGGAACGAATTCAGTCCAATTCATGCAGTTTCCTCAAAACATTTGTCACTCAAGATGAGCTGGGTTCACCACTTTCACCCCGAATCAAAACAACAGAGCAAACAATGGATGAAGAATTTTTCCCGGCCCCCCAAAGAAGTTTTAGCGAGTTTCGTCTGTTGACAGGGGTTTTGCCTCTGTTTTCTGGGACAGTAAGGAAGTAATCATGATTGACTACATGTGAAGGGGTTAAAGCATCAATGGGGAGTACTATAAAACAGAATTACGACATTTGAGGGCAACGATCAAAGAGAAAAGGAGAGGAAAGCTCCGAGCTGGCGTGATGAAAATGCACCTGTCCACACAACACAGGGGTCAGTGCCAGCAGCAAACGAATTTGGGTTTGCAGTCTAACCCCACCCTTCCAATTCACCTGACCTAGCACCCTCGGACTTCTACCTGTTTCCTAAACTCAAGTTCCACTTACGTGGTCAACGTTTTGATGGTATTGATGACGTCATCTATGCGGTATAGGCCTATCTGGGGGGTCCAGATGCAACCTTCTTCCACAATGGGAAAATAAAGCTGGAACATCACTGGACCAAGTGCATTGCAGTTAGAGAGGACTATATTATAAAATAGTTTAAGAAAAATTTTACTGCCCTGACGTTTTCTAGGTGAGGCCGAGAACTTTTTGAACACCCCTCGTACAAGGTGCAAGATCCAGGCAATGCACATAGACAGGCAGGCAAATGTTAAGATTCTAGCGACTTGTAAGACAAGGGTTTCGCTAGCACCCGAGATTTTTGGTTGGGTCACCCACACATGTATCCTGAATGGTACAAATGATCCGTTTTTTTATGGATCAAAAGAGTATAGTAAAAAGCAACAAACTTGGTAACATTCGGTAACCAAGACACCGCACGCGTGTGTCCATGTGGCACGTGTTGGAGAAGTCAGATGTAGTTAATGGGTTTTCCATGTACCCGGCTTGGACGATTGAGTAGAACGAGGTTCACCTTTGGGTTGTTGCCAGTCACCCAGTGTTAAGCCAAATCCTTGAGCTGCCACATACGTGAGAGGTCAGGTGTTTAGGGCTAGGGTTAGGGTTGGGGGTGGTACTAGTATTAGAGTTAGGGATAGAGTTGGGATCATTGTTCAGGGCTAGGGTTAGGGTTGGTATTAGAGTTAGGGTTGGGGTTACAGTTGGTATTAGAGTCAGGGTTAGGGTTAGAGTTGGTATTGGAGTTAGGGTTAGGGTTGGAATCTTTGTTCAGGGGTAGGGTTAGACTTACGATTGTGGTTAGGTTAGGTTTAGTTTCCCACATCAC